TAAATCAATAGAGCCAACTCCATTAATTAAACCATTATCTATGTTAACAGAGCAGCCATTTGTAGCCTCCAATAACGAAGTCATTGTAATATGTAATGAGCGAAATCCAAATTGGCATGAAATCAGTAAATTATTGGAAATAAAATGTACATAAAGGTGGTCGAAAATAATTTTTTCAAAGATTTTGGAAACTGTTGGAATAACAGGTGATTCGCCAGGTTTAGACCGAACCGATAAGTTGGTTATGTGGTATCTTATAAACGTTTTTATTCGATCTATAATGACATAATACAAGAATACAATTATATGGTTTAATTTAGCTTACTTCTGTTCCCGAATCTCAACTTTAACAATTATATTAACTTTCACTGGTTAGCAACTTTCTTTCAGACTCTCTGGTTAGCACTGTTCATAACATTTAAAGTTCTCTTCTCATACAAAACACATGCTCCGTCTTTATTTTCAACCTTTTTTCAAAAATGTCAACTATCAGTTTATATTACTTTATGTAATAATATTATAATGTCTCCATTCTGTCAGACAACAAAACAACAGATATTGGTCGATAATTGCTTGGGTCATTCTTTATATAATATACCTTCCATTCATAAGGAAATATTCGAGAATAAATGGATTTTGAAATATTTCTGTCGAGGAAGGTGCAATTACATGTGCTGCAATTTTCAGCAACCCATTTGGTATTTTATCTAGTCTAATTACTGATCTTTTTTCATCAGCAGTTTCCAACAACTATCAATCGTAGCAATTAGCAGGCTAAAGGGTGCAAATTCCAGTCGTTTAGCTTCGACCAAGTTCACAGTTCTGGGTACTCAAATCAACACATAAACTGCATGCATCAGTTCAATGCAGCAGGAAGATGGGATCGTGATATTGGAAGGTATTATAATTATTACAATGTTTCACTTACTTTCTTGATATTTCTTTTGGCAGTAATATCAAAATTACAAGGAAACACTTCACATGAAAACATGTGAGATGTTGGAAACATGTTTCAGTTTCAAACGTCGACTTTTTCATTTCTCTTCTCTTCCGTACAAGAAAACCGTTCTTTGGACTTAGCTACAAACAATTTCCCTCTTTAAAAAGCAGCATGTTTCATGCATGAGGCATATGAGAAATTAAAACTTATCAAACTAGTGAATTAATTGTAATTATTAATAATAAGAGGTAAAAATTCCCAATCTTTTACATGATATCAAGGCATCATGATCAAGCAATAATGCGAACTCAAAGAAGAAGTTGGATTAACAAACAGAAAATACTGAGCGAGGCAATTCGTCGCCTGATCCACGTGGACAATAGACAATTTCCGCATGCAATACAAAAGTATACAAAATTTGTATACAAAGACTTTGTATACGAAAGTATACACAAATTTTTTACACACACATTTTAGCAGTGTTCAATGTTCTCCGTAACTGTAGTAGCTTATTTGCCTCGTCCCCCCCAAAAAATTAGTCTACGCTGTATGCAATTTATCTGCAAGGAAGTTTGCATACATTCATGTTATTCTCATCGGAAATTACAATTCGAGTTATATTAAACACTCTCTTGTGTGAAAATTTCCTGAAAAATTAAGATCTTTGGAGGTCATTTAATTTTGTTCTATATCGTTGCGCTTGACCTTTGAAAACCACACAGCTCATCTTTTGGAAGAGCACAATTCAATATCGTCAACACCACAAGTGTTTTTATATTACTTAAAATAATAAGTAAACATAACATTCACCTTTACACCACAGTAGGGATGTACTAATGAAGATTAGCATTCGTTGAAGTAGCCAAGACATCCTCCTGTGTACAAAACTTTACTGTGTACAGCGAAGGGAAGCCGAAATTTAAGGGTCGTAAGTATTGAATGTTTAGATTTCAATATTATTTCAATATAACACTCAGTTCACGAAAACAGGAAATTGGAATATTAATATTTATGTAAATGAATTCATTCTTGAGGAATCTGTCAAGAGCATTTCGTTCGGAAACTTTGAATGCAAATACCTCATAATATTTCAATATAGCCAAGGACAGTATAGAAGCGTTTCGAATAACTTCTCATAAGGTATTTCATATACTATCTCTTCTGTTTAAGCAGATTCGAGAGGCTTATTTGTCTGTAATAATGATTACTTAAATGCTAAAATACTATAAGGATTGTCTCCTTCGGTTATTGCCTATAAAAGTCTACACATCCGAAAAGAGCATACTCTGCAGCATGACGAAAGCCCTGAAGTCGAGACGTCAAGAAGCGTTTTGTCTATATTAGGCAGGGTAACTTATCAGGGTTATTGGCTATAAAGGCCTACGCATGCATCCGACGCAAATTTTCAGTTTTTCAGAGTGAGAAAAATTTCATTATGAAAGCAAATTTTGGAAGCTATATCTAAACCAAAAGAGTATAAAAAAGGGCTACCGTTATGTAATCTGAAAAGTATCATGACAGGATAAAATAAATTTTGCTTAAATTTACGTAAATATTTCCTTTTTTATTCAAAAATACAGTTAAGGAATAGTGAAAACACTAATAAAGAAATTCATCGTTTTGTACTTTTTAGTGTTAACTTGACTACTTGGTTTTCGCTAAATCATGGAAACATCTGCGGGACCATAGGGATTATAAATAACACTAGAGGAGGCTTGGGGCGCTTTCCTTTATACGGTGAAAACGGTCAGACCGGTCCTGTTGTATTTCAATTCAGACAGATTACTAGTTTTTAGGGTGTTTTTTGAGATCTGCATTGAGATTTAATGTTATTTACAACTGATTAGCAAGGAAAATGCAGTTTCACCGCTATATTTTTAACGAAATACTCTATTTCAATTTAAAATACGACCGGTCTGACCATTTTGGCCGCTTAAAGGAAAGCGCCCTTGGTATCGGAAACATCAGTCGAAAAAGGGAACGCATTAATGGGGGCAAATTCAAGTCCCGAATGCTAAGCCAAGCGTCTATTGGCTACAACAATGCCTCTTCTTAGCAACCACGTTAGCAACAACTAAAATTTGTATTTAAAAATTTATATTAGTTTTTAGGTCGCTTTGCCGTTTTTTGAGGAAAAACTGTTTTTTCAAATTGGTTTTACTACCTTAGACATCCTGAAATGATATTTTATAATGAAAAAAAAACGTTTAAAATGACGTATTTCGGCCTCAGACATCGTGAGCAGTGATCGTGAATGAGTGAACATCCGCGAGTTCAATTTCCTCCCAATTAACGGGAATAACGGCCTCCTCAATTTCTCCTCGACGCCCCCTTATAATGGAATTTAAGTCAGGGTCCGGTCGCACAAAGGTTGGATGGCGCTATCCACCAGATAATGAACTTTCAACCTCACCATAGGTATTAAAATCATGGAAAAGCAATGAAATTAAAGTTTTAGGCGATTTAAAAATTCTAAGAATATACTTGACAACGGACAATTTTTGGGCGATTTGAAATAATAATGCTGTTGTTACGATTATAAGTAACTTTTACTGAAAATAAAATACCTAGCAGCAAATTACAAATGTTTAAAGATGATGTAAAATCCGTTCTGTGCATATAGACCGCGCATAACAATGTTTGTTTACGTTTGTTATATAATCTTTACTTGACGTATGTGTCGTTCTAATTTTCTTATTTTCTTCTCGCTCTCGCTCGACCGGCTGTGATGAAGATGCTTATTTTATATGATATTTTGAAGAAAATATTATTATATTTTGAAGAAGATATAAAGCAAAGCTTGTAAATAAACCGTTGCTTAAAACTGTCTTTATACATTTGTAATTGTAGGACAAGCGAGAAAGTAGCGTCTGTAACGACGACAAATAATCTCGCCATTTCGGGTCCTCATTCATCAAATAAATTCTTGAAGCATTCCTTTCACAATAATATTCCTTTTTTCTAGCAGCCTTATCTTCATCACTCGCAATTCGAGCCTCTTCGCCTTGCGACATAAAATAAAATGAATGTGCTCCCGAACTGGCCGTTTGTAATACAACGCGCTAATATCGCATATCATTAATTCCAAAAGTTGCTCCCCCACTGATGGAATGTGTTGTTGCGCGGAATATATGCGCAGAACGGACTTTACCTCATCTTTAATTTTTTTCTGAACAAAATCCTCAGCATATCTAAAACCTTTCAGGTAGAAATGGCTTTTGCAGGTAGAAATAGCTTTCAGGTAGAAATGGCTTTCAGGTAGAAATGGCTTTCAGGTAGAAATGGCTTTCAGGTAGAAATGGCTTTCAGCTGGTAGAAATGGCTTTCAGGTAGAAATGGCTTCCAGGTAGAAATGGCAAGGATGGTAATAATGGTCTTTAAATTCAGGTCTGAAATTAACGAGTGAAGCTTACACTGAGAGACTTGAAATCTTTTATTACCCTTAATAAATTATTGGCCTTGGTTTCACAACATCATTACAGCATATAGACTATTCTTTAACGAATATCTATCGGTATTATTTGAACATTACTTTTATTTATATAATGAACTCTCTATTCTTAATCTACCTACATAATTATATAGCCTTTCCCACGCAAGCTCGCTGAAATCAATGTTAAAAGTTATGCGGATCCTGGAATTTGAGCAAAACAGCCTCAAGATACTGTTTAATAAAGTTTAAAGTTCCTAATCGTTTAAAGGCCTTTGGTTACCACTTCCTTGTTAGGCCCTCTACGTGCATAACCAACTCCTTCAAAATCACCTTTCAAGAGTGGTTTTCATATTAGTTTCTCAGTTCCTGGTCGTTTCTGCAAAGGCAGCCTGTGGAAGGCTATTTGTTCGTTTTTCGTATCTCATCTAATGATCTCGTTTCTATGTCAAATATTTATCCTTGATTCAAGTATTTATGTTTTGTGCACTATATCTAGAAATAAATTTTTATTATATCCAGGAATTTGCAATATATGTTTTTTAAAAGCTTAATGTCACTGCTCCTCCACACTACATACGATGCATTGCGGAATGTTGAAGTGACGATTTTGTTTTTTAAGGACCCTGATATATATTGCGAATTCCTTCACCCCAATATTCTTTGATACTAAATTTGTTGACATGGAAGGAAGGTCAATATTGGGTAAGAATTAATGGGACAATGGGTATGATCTATAACTATTAGTGTAATAATTTTACTTCATCACACTAGGTTATTTTGCTCTTTCTTATCGAACTTGAAGCCGACGCGTTGTGGACAGTCATCACATGAGTATAATTGGACATCTCTGAGTGATATTGCGTTAAGAAAGTCTTTCCATTCAACGACATTCCCACCACCACAAGCCGAGTTCGTTGATATGCGTGGAATGCGAAAGGTGGGGAAGTTATCCCAAATGTTCACTTGTGTTAAATCACCCCTTAATGAAAGACTTCTTTTGGTACCTAAAATTCATTGAGATATTAATGGGGAGTTTGACTATTACGATATTTATCACTATTACGGGGTATGCACCTAAGAAATTGTGCACCGCTTCTAAAAAATTAGCTACATTGTGTCAAAGAAAGCAAGTGATCGATGATCAAGTCGTTTTAGACACTATAATGCTTTAAAATTTGACCAATCAAAATTGCGCTTTCATTCTTCATATTTCATTATTAATAGTAAACAAAAAGTAAAGGCTAAAATCAAACTAATCGTCCCTGAAACCCTGATAATGCACTGTCTTCCTCTTGCTAACTTTTTTAAAAATATTTTTTATTTGGATTGTTTCGAAAATATACGAAAAATTCACTCGTAAAATTGATTAAAATATAAAGTAAAAGATGTTTTCGGATAAAAAAACTTTGATTCAAATAGATGGTGAAAAATCTACGATTTTAACGTATTTTTGCAGTGTTTTTGAATAGGTAAATGGATAGATTTTGTATTTTAAAGCATGCAAGCATTTTGTAAATTTAACTTGTGGATTTATAAACAAACTTACGACACCTCTTTGAATTTATTTGTCAATTTCGTTAACTGAATGATTTTGATTGGGAAAGCATTTATTTTTGAAGCATTTATAAATGTGAATCTGTTTAAAAAGGAATTGAAATTTCGCTAAAAATTGTAGAGTGTAGTATTTAAAACTATTCCGTAGCACAATTAATGAATTATGGTTATAGTTGAATGTGATAGCTCGAGAGTCGACTTTATAATTGTACTTGATATAGGATTTTACATATACGACTTCGATCATTCAGCGGAAACAAGTATTATAGAATTTCAGTGATGGAAATATATACATGTTTATTGCTTCAGGCGAAGGGATTTTGCATGCATGTATTTCTAGTTAATATGAAATGATACGAATAAGCGGAAATATAACTTCCGCAATGCTCAAAATCGTTTGAAAATCCACGCAATGGCTGGTATATTATTTGTTTCTGCTTTTTTCTTCTATTATTTGTTTCTGCTAATTTTTCAACAATGAGCCGATGGGCACGGGCATTCAGCGCGTTTTAAACATTTAAAAATATTTCTTGACTTTCTTTGATTCATCGGCCACCGTTTAATCTGAACCCGACACATGGTAGAGCCTTTATAATTTTTCCTCACATTGTTAATTTTCCTGTCGTCTCCTATTTAGTTAAGTGGGTTTTGCATTTCAAACAGAGAAGAAAACAGATGAAAAGCATTGACTATAATTTGTCAAAATAATTGCTATTTTATGAAATTGTCGTTGTGGTATGGTCGGTGTGTATCCGTTTTTACCAAGGAAAAAGTTAAGTGATGATAGCAATTCTTACCTGGACGCCTTCCAAGATAAACATAAGCATACTTTTGCTCTGTCCTGGACTTTTGCGCCGAAAATCGAAAAAATGATTGATGCACTTTTTTGCCATCGAGATAGATATGCATTTTTGAAGTGTTTTGAAGAGAAACACAGACATGGTGCCAGTTACCATCGTTAATTGTGCACTTTTGTACTATCCTGGAAAGAAAACATTAATATTTATTACTGATGTAAAGTTTAGTTTATTGTTGTATTAACATGCAAAGTCTTTTTATACTTCTATGCACATGGGCGAGTGGATTTCGAGAGAAATATCGCAATTGGCAACATTATTTTGTTTCAACTGCTTTCATTATTTTACTTTTTAAAATATAATAATTATATATTTTGCAAAGTGCACGGTATAGTTTCATAATTTTTTCTTCGAACTAAAGTCTCGTGAAGAAGACGCATGCACCTAAATTCATGATCGTATTTATTACATTACCACGGTTAATCGCCCACTAGGTTAGGTAATCACACACCAGTTCATTTATTTGACTAAGTCTAATTATTAAACTGTAAAAGGTTCACAAAATACTTTAAAATACCTTCGCCTATCCTCGAAGCTCAGGACCAAATTACCGTTTTCAATTGAAACATCAATTCTTGCCTTTTTACTGTCGTGGTATATCAAGGCGATAATCTGGGCAAAGTCATCTTTAGTTCTTATCCAAAAACACAAAGTGAACGTCGTGAGAAAAGGGATCTTCACCCTAGCTCTGATAGCACTCCTAGATCCTTCCGTCGTAACTCGTGGTGGAGCTACTTCTTTCTTGCCGTATGCTCTACCGGGGAATAACTCAACAATCTCTTTCCTCATAGATCTTCGTCTAACCACGGCACGCTTTCTTCTTCCCGAATTGGAATTTTCTCCAAAAGCAGCACCTGCAATCGCTTGACCTAAATATACCGCGAAAGATGAAGCATCATGCACATGACACCATTACTTGTTTATCTTTATACAATAACTACAGCGAAACGCGCAATTTGGTTGGCCAATTACCGTGCAGGATCAGGAAACAAGGACGAATTTCGTTTTAAGCTAATCGCCATATTTGTTTACATTTTTTAGGCAAGGCCAATCAGAATGCCTGAATTTTAAGAATTTCATGTAAAATGATATAAAACAATGATGTAAAACAATATGATTTATACATATTGAACTTTTTGTAAAAATTTATGCATTCTGATTGGGTTACTGAAAATGTAAACAAACTTGCTGATTGGTCTAAAACGGAATCCCCCCCCCCTTGTTGGATCAGGGATGTTGCTCGACTTTCGGAAAGCGTAATATCCCTCATGCATGGATCACGCAATCCTGCACGTAAGACCATTTGGTAATCCTTTAATGTCGAGGCCTTCGTGGGGTATCACTATAATGATAGTTTTGTATGGAACTATAACAATCAGCCAAATTGACACAGGCTCAAAATAAATCAACATAAAGGTCGACATACGTTTGGGGTGTGCTCCACCTACCACAAGCGTTTATAGTTGCAAACGTGAAAGTCAAACTACTATCAATCTATTCAATAGACCTTTCTTAAAATGACGTGAAACGCGGAAAGTCCAATGTTACGTTAAATTTGATTGGCTCCTCAAAACTATCGAGCCAATCAAACTTCGTGTACACGAGACTATCCGCGTTTGACGTCATTATGAAAAAGGTCCATAGTTTAATGTCAGTATTACTACTTACGTTTGCTGTTGCTGATATCAAATTTAGCCCTTACATTTTACACTTATCTAATAACTACAGGATTTTTGGAATAATCAATTTAATATACTGCATTACTTCGACTATAGAAAATTATTTTGAAATGGGGAGTTTATTATTTACAACAGTAACTTCTTAATCCCTGCAGTATTTTAGAGCGCACAGCAAATCCAGCCCCAGACCAAATCGTCCCTTTTAGGCGAGCTTTGTTTCCGTAGTATTACTACTTTCTTTTGAAGTTGTTTATTTTGTTAACGTTAAACTTAAAAGTCACCTTCGCTGGGAGCTGAAAGTCGTGAATAAAGGATATTTGTATTGGTTTACGTACCTGGATCGATGATCTTAATCAACGTCTCGGAATCTCTGAATGGTTCACTGTGAACATTGACAAGTTTTGTTTTAGCTTCTCCAGTCGATGCTAGATAATGGTCACGGTACAAGACTGACTCGAATACATAGAAGAGATGATGCTCAAAGCTCAGTTTCACAGGTGCAAAAACATCACTTTTGTCCGTAAGATTAGCTGCCACGTCTTCAGTCTACAAAATAGAAGAGGGAGGAATATTTTTGGTAAAGTATCCTCAATAAAGGGCGAATGTAGCAAGACCAATTGTACACAGCGTGCGTACGAGAAGGTATGAACAGCGTAATAATGTGCCCATTCCTGGTGTCAGATAAATTAATCCTGAAAAATAATATTAAATTAAACTTATAATCTAAAAATATTATTTAAAAGATATTTTCGAATAATATTACGACGACAAACTATTAGTTTAACTCAAATAAATAGCGTTTGAATTCCAAGTTGGCGTTGCTGTGAAAGCGCTAACGATGAGAAAGTAGTGCCATTGCAGTTATTTTGGGTAGGGTCGCAGCTCCTCGCAAGAATGATTTTCATTGGCTGAACTTTACCATACATTTCTGTTTCAAACAATAGCATAGCTTCGTTCTTTAGAAAGCATAGAAAAGCATTATCCAATTGGATGAAAAACTTCCGAGCACTGCGACATGTCCCGTTATTTTTTGTACTTGAAATTCTTAGGGGTAAGTTTTCTCAGCTCACTGCAAATTTTCTATACGCCTACTGTTTCCACACTATATCCGTAGTATCGAAATGGGAATTATAGTATGGTATTATAAATTCCACTTCATTTCCAACTAGAATTCACACTATTCCAGTGTTACTTATCAACTAATTTCACCTAGTATACTCCCTCCTCCATTGCCTGCATGGAAGGCGGTCCCTAAATTCGGGCGCTGGATTATATCCTTTTATTATCAACGAAACTTACCACTGCAATCAACTCTTCATCGACGTCACGAGCTTTAAGATGATACTTCACGTTGTTGTGATACAAAACTAATATCATCCTTGTTTCAAAGTCTGGAAATCCGCTAGAAACGTCCTTGAATTGAACCAATGCTGAGAAAAAAAATGCACAAATTTTAATGACTAATGATTAAGTTTGAGATATTGGTAAGCTTGACTATTTCAACGCTCCCCCGAGTACTTTTCTTTTTTTGTATACTAGCTATGTCAGTACGTTATACTGATCTGAAAAACCATAGGATGACAGGTCCGGCATGCATAATGAAATAGTAAAGATGCCGACTTGATGCGACTCATAATCCTCAGAGCAAATCTTTGCTGACAACAGTGGTTTACGTGAGATGATAATTGGGTTGGGGGCACATATTCATCTATTCATGTTGTGCAAGATTAATTTCTTTTCAAATCCATTGTCTCGACAGGTCTGTTAACATGAATATTTGAATATGCTCTTCCCCCCCCCCCCAATTATCGTGTCTCCCCCCAAATTATCGTGTCTCGTACGCCACTGGCTGAAAAAATATTTTACTGATCTCTACAATTACATTCAGCAAGTGCTTCTTAATGTTAGAAACCCACTTCGATGGTAGGATTCATATATTCTTTATATTCATAATTTTATCCTTACTATCAACACTGGTATTTGTACCATCGACTAGGCCACCAAAATCAACCCCCATTTCATCGGTGATGTTGGAATTATTCGCATTATTTGTATCATATATTCTTAGGTAGTGATCTCCCACATGACTTTGAAATGACCATAATCTTGTCACGGAACCGCCACAAATTATACAAGGTTGTGGATTAGGCGTCATCGCAAAAGTTAGTGCCACAATCTGAAGGAAACCAAATATTACGTAAAGATAGATGTGGTGAAATTTGCGATTCGTTGCACGCGCAACCAATTTCTAAGCGTCACTGATACCAGCTGCTCTTGTTCCTCGTAGCAAAGGCCGAGCGGAATTTACAGCCCCGCCTGGGAAATGAACTAAGGCTTCGACGTTTAAAATCATCACCCGTTCTTAAAAATCAATAATGCTAAATATTCGCGTCAAAATCCAAAAACAGCTTTTTGCATCTGTTTTTTTTATTAATAGTGCAAAACTATTTTCTGCGAAACTGTTTCTGCCAAACTGAATAGTTTTTACTAGATGAATAGCAATGAATAGATTAAGACGCGATTAAATAACTAACTAGATGAATAACAATGAATAAAATAATTATATAAAACGCATCAATAAAACATGTACTATATCTGCATGCTATCAGGTATATTGCAGTATAATATAATGGTAGTAAACCAATTTAAGCATGCAGTATAACCGGGAGCAGCGTGGCAGCGTCTTCAAATAACTTAATGATGATACTAACTCTCCTGACGAAGGCCATCAGGTCGAAACGTCGAGAAGTGTTTTGTCTAATTTAGGCAGTTGTTATACCACATTTGATGCTATATAGCCATTTAAGCAGCGCCGAAATTTTGTACGTGTATAGCCCTTTCTCGATTCACCCCCACCCTCCTCTAGTTATCGCCCTATTTTCGGCCGTGCATTTAAGTGCATGAATGGCTTAAAGGGTTACACGACATGCGCATGTACAGGAAAATTTTCCTATACAGTAATTATTAACTAAAGTCTATTAATCATATGTCCGTGGATGTAAATTTCCTTAACACAAAAATATCTATGTTTTCGTTAAGAATTATATACATGCAACATTATTACAGTTGCAACTGTAACCATCATATTATAATAGCCAAAAATATCATTATCCTTGTAAATATCACTTTATTATTTCAGGTTATTTTTTAAAATAAAATGACTCAGGTTCATCCGAAGCATTGGAAGCTGTTGTATGTATGTATAAGAGATAGGAGTATTACTCAACGCAATGAAATAAAGATATAGCCAACACCAACCTGTACAATGATAGCTAAATACAGGAACATTTTCATGAAAACAAATTTCGTCTGATGTTGCTTCGCGATCTTATCAAGGTATCAAATATAATCTGAAACAAAAAAGTGTACATACATTTTATCGATTAATTACATAGACTAATATATTAATATAATTATAATTTATTAATATAATAATTTACTTCGCCACCGCTTTGTTGATGCGTAGACACTGATTGATAGATTTTTTTATTGATACCGATTTTAAGAATGAATCACATTCGACAAATGCATGATTAATCGATTATATTTAACAACAGATACTGAACAATGGCTGCATGAATATCTATTCAAGTATAAGCGTCCATCAAAGAGAGTCATTTGACAATTTCGGATCCTGAAATTTTATGTAGCAATTCTGCGCGACAAACAATATACTTCCATAAGTGAACTACTTTTCCTTATGCCTTTGACCGTATATCACTAAATAATAACTTTCGTTCGGTATTACGTCGGTCAAGTCATATAATTATATAACTGCTGCTGGTTTGACTCTAAATTAACCCACACCCACTGACTGCAAATCAGTTCTATTATAGTTAGGTTGTGTGTACAGAATTTGTAAAAAGTTGTTCCGCATATAGTCTTTGCTGTGGATTAAAATTTAAATGTTCCTTCTAAGGACTAAACAGGTAATTTACTTACTCAGGAAAACTTCAAAATATTCAGAACATTATATTCATTATCGTGACCATCGACACGGCAGCATTCGAATACCCTCTGCTATATAAAAACCTCGATTAAAATCGTCTACTAAAGTCGTAGCTGTTACAAATTTCAGCAGCAAGTTTTACTTTGTTCCAGTCTTCAAACGTTTCTTCTTATGTCTTTTGGTCCGAATGCGTGTTTTCAGTATACAATTATGTGCGTGAATATTTGAAGTACATTAGCGTGTTTCCTGACAACCATACTTCTCTCTTGTTCCCTCAAGTACATAATCCGTTTTCAAATTAACATGACTTTATGAACCGATTATCCATCTATTTAACATCGTCTTTGTACATCCGATACATGAAAAGCTGTTGATGCATACAAATTTGTGATTATACTAAAACGTCCTTAGAAGCATGAAAGAGGTTTACAAAAAGATAATCCTATCGCCGCGATCGCTTTAGCCTCTCTAAATCTTAGTGCATGCATGTATAGCATTTTTTGTTTGATTTTACTACATTTTACTACATGTAATCTTAAAAAATATAAATTATGAATTATAAGCATGTTCCCTTTGCATGTGTTGAGCGTGTTTCTCCAGGCTGGCTGATGACAAGCATGCAGGTGTTCATGTCTATTTATAGTTAGGCCTATATATGAAAGCCATAATTATAATAAAAAGGTATAATTAATTTATATTACTTAGCTAGCTAGGTCGTTCAATCATGAGCATAATAGCACAATAAAAGTGGTAAAACGATGTGACAAACTTGAAAAGGAATCGAGTTCGATATTACGTAGCAGTGACGGGATCCAGGGTGGACTGAATAAAATTAATTACACAGTGTAATTCAAATCTGAAACACATCGCAATATATTGGTTATTGTTTCTAAAGGAACACACTTGACTCAAATTAGATCTGCATGCACAAGTTTTCTTCCTCGGTTTAAGTCGACGCCATTTTCAGATTGTCACCCGTTGCATTTTGGTACATTAATATGTTACAAACAGTACATGCATGGAACAGGATAAACTGTTCAAAATTACACCACTAAAAAATATCATAAAAAAAGGATTATCGTATATTTAAAAGAAAGTATCACTAAGGAAACGGTCGGCTTTCATCATAAATTTTGTTGTCGTTGCCCTGGAAAATTCTTAAACTGGTGCCCTGCTGATCAATTTTCTTTCATACATTTGGGTGTGTATTACCTTTAGGTTTGTCTCAGCTTAATTATAAGGAAAGTCGAGTGATTGTGAAGTGTAGACGTCACTGAGACCTTCGAATAGATGAAAGACTCCTTTTTTAACCGAGAGAATTGAATGAACCGCTGCACTGGTATTGAGTGCACCTCTCGAAAGGCTTTAAACGACGCCAAATTTCAGATCTTAAAAGCTGTTATATTTTGAGAGTAAATTTTGGAAGTTATAATGGAAACAAGAGAAGTTGTAATGTACAAATTGTAATCTATTCAAAAACGTTATGACGAGATAAAATATGTTTGCTTTATAGGAAACAGAAATCTTGCAAAAAATTGCATTGTGTTGCAAATCGCGTGCGGTCTGTGTGGGCTTTTTTGAAAAATCTCCATTGCTGCTGTCAGTTCTTAATAATGTAGCCGTGTGCATCTTCGGAAACTCTAGCCTTTTAAAACTGTAATATAATATAGATATACATAATTTACAGTATATATATATAAATATGCACTCTTGCGAGAAATGTCGATAAACTGTGGTCATTGACAACTGCGTATTGTTCACAAAGTAATTTCCTCATCCTGCACGCAGGAGATCTGTCTATATTATCAGTCTTTATACGTTCACGTCAAATTCATGCATATAAATATGGGCATCAGACTTTTTGACTAGCACTGTTTGTATACCTAACATGCATGTTTTTTCATTTGGACTAAAGACAATAGAGCGAATTTTTCTATCATGTCTATCGTGTCTATTTTGTTGCATTTACTCGTTTATTGTGTTGATCGCACTTGTGGCAGCACACAGTATATACATCTCGTGATAATAAGAGCCAAACAAATACTCGGTTTTGTTTCCGAATATCCTTCATTTTCATTCAGTGAGAACAAACATTCATATGGTGTACTCGTGATCAGTCTGCCTAAAAAGTTCCGATATTTCGAGTGCAACTAATATTGAGGGCTGCATGTTCCTCTGCTTTTGAGAACTGAAAGAGTTAGGTATAATCATATGCAGCCTATTATTATCTTTCTACATCCTACATGCGTATGACTCATACCGATGCATAGTCAAAAGACTGTCAATTACCATGATCCCATAAATTTTTCATTACCCCTGTAACCTGAATGAATGAAAAACCACACAAGTAGATCGTTATAAGAAAGTTATAGATTAAACTCTGATGAAGTGTTGGGCCAGAAATCTCTTAACTGATATTTGCCCGACTTTAAGCTCATTTCTATTTAGCTTTTCTTGATACTTAAAAATATTGATCTCCGGGAGTCAGTTGAATAAAACTGTTAAGTACATTTTAGGCAGTTAATGATATAGTTAACTCAAAATTGGCAATTTTTAATTTCCCATCCTCTCACAAGCTATAATTAAAGCAAACTGCATTCTTATACAACCGGTCCCTGGATGTTTTCATTCTGGAAAACGGAAAGAAGCCTGTTAAGCAGGTTTGGGGTTAATTCTGATTTCCCTCTCTCCATATCTTGTTATAAATTCCATATAGGCCCTAGCTAAACATAAAATTCTGCTTTCAGGAGACTATTCAAACAATTCACGTTTGAAAGGCCACTTGATGGCAGTCTCTGATACCCTATAATCAGCCTTAAAGTCATTGCCCATAGTTATTCACAACTTAATATTTCGTATTATAAAGTCAAATTAATGATTACTCAAAATTTTCTGTATGCTGCCTTATCCAGTTAGCCTACAGTAGGGGGCAAAAGTTTGAGTCCAGTCGTTGCAGAATTCCAGTATCAAATCCTGGCAGCGTATTCGAGTTAAAACATGCCTGCTAGTGTTTCAGTACTGTAAACCATATTAATTGCACACTGTTTTGGTCATAATGATCTAAACTATAACAAAATAAAGTTCCTATTCCATTACACTGCCCAAGATAAGTTCGAAAAAGGGCAAAGTGATGGCACACAAGGACAAATAGTTGCATAAAGTATTGAAGGATTCTTTCCTTGTAAAATCACAGAAAAAGTGAGAATTTCGAAAGGTGGTATGCAACTAAGAGAGGCTCGAAGAAACTAAATCCTACTCAAGCAAACTTTTAGCTGCTTCGGTCATGCTGGGTTTGGCATAATGAAAAGATATAATAGGATCCTAATTAAAGAAAAGTATCATCCAATTCTTCAAGGACATGGAATTTCATCTGGTACAAAGATGATCGCACGTCTAACTACATGATAATCACCCTAAGCACATGCACATCTTCTATGTGCCAGAAATCTTTTAGAAGCAAACTCATTCTGGTGATCTCGTTCTCATAGCTTTCCACGTCAAATTCCAGATCTAAAACCTATGGAGCGCTTGTAGGACCGTTTTAACCGGAAAATGGCGAGGCACAGACCCACCAGCCAGGATGACTTGAGGCAAGTGGTCAACGAATACTGGCAAGGTATTAAACGTGCGACATTAAAAAACCTATGGAATCTATGCCAGCAAGAATAAAGACCATTTCAAGGGCAAAAAAGAGGAATATTAAGCATTGACATGTAATGCATGTTTGCACATTAACATACGTTAATTGAATATCATAACATCTCATAGTTGTTGTACATCATGTATTTTTCATTTTACTTATAATTACTTTTTTCTAGTTCACTTATCGGTAAGGTTTTCTGTAGAATATTAATATATGCTGCTAAAACAATGAAATACAGTCACTGGACTCAAACTTTTGCCCCCTACTGTATGTCAAAATGGTTATAAAATGTTTAAACAGCACCTGTTGTTACAAATTGTGAACCGTCTTTAATAATTACATGCATGATAATATTTAATAAATAATTACATGAATGATAATATTTAGTAAATCTGGGTGTGAATACTGTACATATAGGTTACTTTAGTTTGTTTCCATCTAATTCAGTGAGGTGGTAAACATGCAATTTTGCCGATAAGGAAAACATGCGTCATATATCTTGCACACTCTTTACACTTTATGAATTTATCAAAGAAATAAATTGATTTCATACTGACATGCACAGCTTACCTTTAGCGAAAATACTCCCAGGAACGGTGAAACACTTTTAGCTGCTGTCACATTTAACGAATTACGGAGAAGATAAACTAGAAATCTGCTGACAGCATTGATATTTATAGCATCTACGGATGAAGTTTTGTAT